CCTCTCCGATGCCTTCTTCTGCTCCGGACTCTGTCAGTCTGCCTCTGGTTCGTCCTCTCGCTTCCTTGCCTCCATTATCTTTGCTAGCTTTGCTTCTGCCCCTTCACCCTGATTTCACTGATCCTGGTCCTGATCTTCCTTAGTCTTGTTCTTTGCTTTAGTTTCTCCCTTGTTATCTCTGTTTCTGTTCTTTCTTTTTTGTCTTGTCTGTTTGTCAATGGAATATTGGTGGTATTTGTCTCCAGGAGCTGATTCTTGGCGCTCGTCCTGGTCACTTCCATGGTTATTCCTTTCTCTCTTACCCTCCAGCTTTTGCTGGGGCTCAAAACTCTACTGCTCTCTTGATCCGTCATGATATTTCCTTCGTTCCCCTACTTTTTCAGTAGCCTATTCAGTGTTCTGCAGCCCATATCTTTTTGAGTAAGTGGTATAGTCTGTTCCATTTATCTCCCCTCAAATGTCCTGCTTTCTCTTCCTGATCTTAAACACCTGTTGGACTCCTTACCAGAGCCTGTGCTCCTTATGGATGATTTTAGCTGTAAGCATACCTTCTGGGAAGATGTTCTGACGAATACCTGGGGCCGCTGCCTTGAACCATTTGTCCTCTCTTGTCTATCTCTTCTGAATTCTGGTGAGCCCAATCATGTTGACTTCTGCACTCGCACCCTTTCCTGTCTTGATCTCTCTCTCTCTGCTCGTCTTCTCTTTATTTGAACTTCACTTGGCAGGTTCTTGATGGAATCAAGCCTTGGGGCCCCATTGGACCCCGCCTGGGTTTTCCAACCCTCTGGGTGGGGCTTTCGGTTACCAGGAGTGGGGGGTTTCCTTTTCCCCCCTCTAAGTACGAGTTAGTTTGGGCATCAGCCCCTCCCTAGGTTCGGTTCTATATCCCTTCGGGTCTGTTGGTTCCGTCCTTCCCTGTGGGTGATTTTACCACTTTCTCATCCTTTTTTTCTAGGACATGTATTCTTCTACATCATGTCGTAATCATGTTCTCATCGTCTCGGGTCTTACATGACCATTGGTCACGGATGTCACAGGGCCCGTGTGAGCCTCCGTGCTTTTGTGCTTTCTTCTTGAGGGTCTCGAAGGTTCGGGAAGATCTTCGATTCTTCCAATATTGTCGGAACGTCTGTCATCTGCCGGTGAGGCTTACCTCCAGTCCTTCCTAGGACTCGTTGGTTCTCTTTCGTACTACTTATAGTTTTTCGATAATATATCTCATTGTTTTATCATTACATCTTATCTCTGTACTCTGTCTCCACATTACTAATATTTGTTTAATACACCTTGTAGGCACCCTCCCCGAGGGTTGGGTGTTGCAACTCGGTCCTCAGGTGCCGAGGGTGTATATATTGGTTTATGTGCGGTGTAAACATGTGTTGGTGTTCCCCGTCCTTTATCGCGGGTTCTACGTCGCTCTCGCTCATCTTCTTTCCAGTCATATCTCTCCTGGATACTGGGAATGTTCTAGATTTTATATATGGGGAGAACACTTAGTTCTCTTTCTGCTTTTACGGGTGTGGGGTGGCTTGGAAAGTCTAATTCTTTGTCTTTCTGGAGAATGTAATTTAAGCTTTGCCAATCTTTGTTCATATGACAGGTATCTAATTTTGGGGATTACCTTTGTCATCCTACGCTGGATGTATTCTAGTGAATTTATATCCATTCTATAGTATGGTGACCAAAACTGAACTGCATAATCGAAATGGGTATTAACCACATTTAGATATTGAACCGCAAAGGGTTCAATGACATAAATGTTAAATGGTATATTTTACTTTTAAGCTATATAATTTAAGTTAAATGTTACAGCATTTTGAATACTGTATGTAATGCAAATAATACCTTTGGTGTTTAATAATCACAGTAAATGGTTTCACAGAACTGAGTTTATTTATATAGCTGCATTTGTGTTGTTTAGCATTAGTTAATAACATAACAAGTTTGATTGATAGTCTCATACAGAAATGCTTTAAAAGCTACAGTACCGAAATAATTATTGTTAAACTAGCCCATTTTCTGGGAGAAGCCCTGTCGGCTCCCTGGAGCTATTCAGGCTGGATGGATATGTATATCTGGCATCAGTCAATGCATGGAGTTCTTGCCTACCGGGAACCACGAGCCAGAACGTGGGCCCTCTAGAAACCACGAGGTTTAGAGACCCCCTGTGGTTGGGAGCATTCTATGTCTGCCATCGACCGGGACAGGCACCGAGAAAGGTAGGCACCCCAAAGCAAAGCCCTCTTCTGGTAAAAGTATTATGACCGAAAGCCGAACAGGTGGACAGAACTCCCCAAACGAAAATTAGCAAACTAGCATGACATCATGTCGCCGTGCCGCTGTCTGCCCAACCCCCCCTCCCCGGGAGGGGGAAGGGAGAGCCCCAGACTCATCCGTCGGCAACCCAACCTTCAGTTCTTGGCTGATGGGAGTCTGGTGCGGTCATGCCTCTGGCTCCAGTATTTCGTTACAGTTCTGTGCCTTGTGGTGTAGGCTGTCCGTTCAGGTGGTGTGTGAGCCGGGAGTGATATTCCACGGAACTCGGGCTGCATGCGCCTAGGGTCTCATTCCCTAGGTGCCCTGTAAGTACTACCCTTGGAGCCACCTTCTACAAGTCACCTTGGGATCTACCTCCACTGTGCCATTTACTTCTCGGTATTTAGCCGCCCTTGGGGTCAGCTGGGTTTTTTCTTACCCTGGTTTGTCTCTGGGTAGGGGTAGTTTTCATCACTCGCAGGGGCGCAGGATGCTGCACAGCTAATTTTCACCAATAACAGCGGCCGGCTCTGTTCCGCCTGGGTTATCTTGAGGTTATCTTGAGATGATTTCGGGGCTTTAGTGTCCCCGCGGCCCGGTCCTCGACCAGGCCTCCACCCCCAGGAAGCAGCCCGTGACAGCTGACTAACTCCCAGGTACCTATTTACTGCTAGGTAACAGGGGCATTCAGGGTGAAAGAAACTTTGCCCATTTGTTTCTGCCTCGTGCGGGAATTGAACCCGCGCCACAGAATTACGAGTCCTGCGCGCTATCCACCAGGCTACGAGGCCCCTCGAATGTTGTCCTCTTGCAGGATTTTCCTTTTGTTTTTGTTTTCTGCCTGGTGGGGGGGTCTGATGTTGTCGTCCGCCTTCGCTGTTCATGGGGTATATATATCTCTGCCTTTGTGTTGGTGGTCCTCTGCGCTTGGCCCCCGTGAGTGGATCCCTCGCCGAGGGTTCAGCTTTAGAAGTTTCGGCTCCAAAGTGTCTGAGGGTTTCGGAATCGAGGCAAAGCCTAGTTGGCGTGGAGACTTGGGCGGTCTCGGGGGTGTCCCCTTCTGGGGTTGCGGCGGAGGCATTCGAGCCTGATCCTTCCTTCTGCCGGAGCTTCTGGGTCTGGCCAATGGGCCCCCTTCATTCCTGCTATTTCAGCAGCTCCTGCCTTTGGAGGTTGGGGTTTGGAGGCTGGCTCGGCCCCGGGTCCTCAGGGTGAGGTTTCCAGGGTTGGGGAGGGGTTGGCTTGGGGGCCTTGGGCCCTGTTGAACCCTGCCTGGGTTTTTCCGCCTTCAGAGCAAGGCATGGTGTTACAAGGAGAGGGGTTCTCTTTCGCTCCCTCCACGTACGAGTTGGATTTGGTGTCCACCCCTTCCCGGGTTCGGTTCTGTGGTCCTGCAGGTTCTTCGGTTCCATCTTTCCGGAGGTTTCCTAGTTCCTGCATCTCGTCTTCTGAGGTGCAGGAGGCCCTGGTGGCATACCTCCTGCACGACCCAGATTATGCCTTTGTGATGGATCCGCGTTCCTTCGTGTATGGCTCTTCTAGTTCGTATTGGGTTCGCTATGAAGTTTCGGAGTCGTCCTGGTTGGCAGTCTGTTGGAGGCTTGGCATACGTTCTGTCGGTCACGCGCGCTTGAGTGGCGAGACTCGGTCGGTGTTTCAGGTTTTCCTGGGAGGGGGGGGGGGCAACTTCGAGTATCTCAATGCTTGTTTGTTCAGCCCTGCCCTTCCGCGGGATGTTGGTGTCATGCAGCTTCATGTGCAGGCTCCTTTCCTTTTCGGCTGCCTTGATTGCGGAGGATTTGCATACTCGTGGCCTGCTTGCTTCGGCCCTGCGTTGATCCAGTTTCCTTTCTTCCCTGTTCCCGGGCTCGGGTCTCTCAGGTTGTCAGCAGGATTATTAAGTCTACCCAGCCTGCGGTTATCCCCGTGCCCATGACGTACGTAAGTTTGTCATGGGCTTTGGCTTTGGCTGCCGTCTTTGGTAACACGTCTTGGGTTGACATTCAGGCACGGGGTTTTTGGAGGTCGAACAGGGTCCTGGCTGCTCGCTAGGAGTGAGGACGAACCACCTCTCATTTTCCTTATCTTTGGGTAGTTAGCTCCGGGAAGCCAACGGGGCTCCCCCAGAAAACCGGCGTTGAATATAATGAAACGCCATTTTCTGGGCGAGTCCTGGAGGCTCCCCGGCATCCTTCCCTCCCTCCGGTCGGCAGTGTTTTTCGTGCTTTTTGACATCCAGCCAAAGAACTGAAGGTTGGATCGCCAGCAGATAGGTCTGGGGCTTCCCCGTTCCCCTCCCAGGGAGGGGGGGGGGGTTACACAGACAGCGGCGCGGTGACATGATGATGTCATGCTAGTTTGCTAATTTTCATTTTGGGAGTTCTGTCCACCTGTTTGGTTTTTGGTCACAATACTTTTACCAGAATGTGGGTTTGTTTTGGGGTGCAAACCTTTCTGGGTGCCTGTCCCGGTCGATGGCAGACATAGAATGCTCCCAACCACAGGAGGGTCTCTATAGGCCATTTCTCCTCGTGCCTCTCTAGAGAGGGCCAGGTTCTGGCTCATGGTCCCTGGTAGGCAAGAACTCCATGCATTGACTGATGTCAGATAGTTATACATATCCATCCAGCCTGGATAGCTACGGGGAGCCTCCGGGACTCACCCAGAAAATGGCATTTCATTACATTCAATGCTGGTTTTTTAGTTATTTCATATTTAGAAAGTTAAACCTTTTTTTTCAGTGTTTCTCAATAAAACACACAAGTTGTGTCACATGAGCAGTGTACACAACTTCAGATACAAGACAGATGGTCTCAGAACTAAATATGAAAACACACTTAAGAAAAAGGTAAGTGCAACATTACTTGTAGTCCCTTTACTTCAAGTGGTACATGCAAAATTTCAAGTAAATAAATTTCTAACAAAATTTTCCCTTCCCAAACCCCCAATTTCTGGGATGAGCCCCCTTGTGGCTCCCTGAAACTATCAGAGATAGTAGTGTACCATACTACAAGCTTCCATCACTTGTGGAGTTGCTGTTAAATACTTGATACTTTAGGGGCCTTGATACTAAAAATGGAAGGTGTGGTGAGGGAACTAGTGCTATGTGGAGCTCTGAGGACAGAGTTGGATTTCCTGTGGGAGGAACTTAGATACATTAAACAACATTTAGAGGAAACAAAGGAGGAGAGCAGCATTAGAAAGTCTTCGTCTTGGAGTGTCACAAAGGACAGGGGTCTTTAGGACAGCCTCCTACAGCTGTCCTAAAGACTTCCAACTCATTTACTGTGCTGGAAGACGAGTGCTGTAGAGAGAGACTACATTCGCTTGAAAGGCAAGGGAACGAAGGGAGGGCCGGTAAAGGAAGTAGCTAAACAAATTTTAGTTGTGGGAAATTCCCAGGTGAGGTATTTGGATAGAGCCTTTTGTGCCAGAGATAGGGGAAACAGGTTAGGGATTTGCTATCCAGGAGCAGGAATTGAGGATATTGTAAACAACATGAATGATATGGCTGGAAATGGGAACAAACCCATTATTTGTATCAGTGCCAGTGGAAATGATGTAGGACGAGTTAGGAGTGAGGCACTGATACTGAGGCTTTAGACAGCCATAGAATTAGTTAGAAGCAAGGGAGGAATCCCGATCATATGTGGCATTCTTCCAAGAAAGGGAGTTGGAAATGAATGGTTGTCGAGTGCACTTGGTATCAATTGCCGACTGGACAAATATTGGAAATCAAATGCAAAATCATTCATTGATAACTAGGACCAATTCTATGGAAGGAATGACATATTTGCTCAAGATGGATTGCATTTATTCAGGGCTGGGGTTGTTGCCATTGCCAACTCATTGGAATCTGTGGTTGGAGGAGTTTGTTTGGGTTTAAACTGTAAACCCAAAAATGTAAACGATAGGTGTATGAAAATTGATATGGAGAAAGGAGGCCATATAAGTATGTGTTGGGGGGGGGGGAATTGGCAAATGGAACAGGAAAGGAGAAGGGCCTCAAAATAACAACAATACTGTACACTTAATCCCTGGCCTGCTCTGGGCCTTAATGCCTTCAATCCCAGGCAAAAGAAAAAAAAAAGAAAAAAAAATATTTTTGGTCTTATAAACGTGTTAATTTGTGTTTCCTGAGCACGAGAAAAATAACAAAAACAATTAATTGTTCTTAACAGTGACATAAATGAGCCAACAATTTCACCAATGGCGCCAAGCAATTTTATCGTTCATGCAAGGTGCGTCCCAGAGGCATCGCGCTTGCCATTCGAGCATTTTCGCAAAATGAGTTTTGCAAAATCTGTGTACTGTATATTACATTAGCGTTCCAGTTTGCATCTTTTTCTCTTTCTCCTTAGTGGTATGTGACTTGCATATATTTCTAGTGCTACTGTGCCTCTTTTCTCCAGGTACTGGATTAAGTTTGCATTATCTAGCTTTCTTTCCAGCATATTTCTGTGAGGGCTTGGTTTATTTATTCCCAGTTAATCCATTCGTTATTGAAATTGAATTTGCTGACTTCTTCTCTTGTATTTGAGACTGGCTGGACAGGTCTATAGCCCATGCATGTGTGAACTACAATTAAGTTGTGATCTAAGTAACATGTATTTATAATCATTGTTCCTAATCAGTTCATCAGTGTTTGTAAAAATAAGATCTAAGGTGTTTCTTTCCTAGTAGGTTCTACTATTTGTTGGTTTAAGGCTAATCTGTCATACATTTGCAATGGGTCATCGATGTGTGACTTCACTTAAACTGCTTCCTGGGATTCTCTCTGTCATAACTGTATTTGCCATGTTTTAGGTGTCATAAATTGAAATCACCAAGCAAGTTTATGATTGGGGTAGGGTTTGTGAGGTTTTTTAAGCAGTATTCTATTTTTGTAAGTTTGTCTTTTAACTGCGGAGGTGCTCCATCTGGTGATTTATATACAAGGGGAATCACCACATTTTGGATGTCTATTTTGAGTATCGGCACTTCCACCATATCATTTGTGTGTACCAGCTCTGTGCAGATGAGTGTGTCTTTGATGTACAGGCTGACCCCCACCCTGTAGCCTATATTTTCTATCACATCTGGAAAGATTAAATTCTGGTATCAATATCTCATTGTCATATTGAAATTGAAATTGAAATAAGTTTATTGAGGTAAAATACACACAAAGGGATGAGGTAGCTCAAGCTATTCTCACCCCATTCAGTACAACGTGTTAATATATACATAGACACACATCACAAATAAACACATTACCAAACATTCTGAGAGGTAAACATATACATTTCCTCCTTCACAAGTAGTATGGTATCAGACGTACACACAAATACTTTTATGACCTAGGTATACTGTATAGACAATTTGCAAGACACCTGCAGATAATTCAACAAAATATTACAATCTTGGTGCAAAATTCTTATATCTCTCAAGAATATCATCAACCTTTCCGTTGTGACACATCCAGGCTATTTGTTCAGGAACAGTCCTTATCTCAGTGTTTCTATATACATTAATCAACGGGCAATCAAGAATATAGTGGGCAAGGGTGTGAGACCTTAACATACCACATAGTTTACACTTCGTGTCATTATCATGAACATCTATCCCATATTCCCAGTAATATTTGTACCCAAGCCTGAGCCGCATGTACACAGAGTCACTCCAAGCATTTCTCCTTTTACCATAAGTGAAATGGGTGTTTTGACTCGCATACATGTAGTGTTGCATGGTTTGACTCTCATACATTATCTCTCTCCTCTCCACTCCTGCCTGTGCCTGAATATTTCTGATTTTGCTTCTTATTTGTCTCATTGTGAATTCACATTCAATGTCAACTTGTGGTTTTGATGTGGCACGTTTGGCCAAGTCATCCGCCACCTCGTTGAGCACTATTCCAACATGAGATGGAATCCACATGAATTTCACACTATAACCTTTCAGCTGTATCTCAGTTATTCTTCTCTTACAGTCCTCCACTATAGACATGAAGACTGGGTTTCGACTGTTTAAGGACTCCAGTGCTCCTCGGCTATCGACAAATACAAAAACATTTTTGTCGTCATGACGTACTTCCTCCAAACACGCCCGAATGGCCTGCAGTTCAGCTTGTGTGGATGATATATAATTACTAAGCCGGAGTTCAATTATCCTGTCCACAGTCCCAAACTCCGTATAATCCCTTATTAGGACACCACACCCGGCCCTGCCATCCTCCGCCACCGACCCGTCGCAATATACATGTAAACTGTTGCCTCTTGGTAACCGAGATATCATGCTTCCATACAAACACCGTAATTGTCCCGGTTCATGATGAATCTTTTTCACCTTGAGGGGTACAATTTCGACATCTATTTTCTGTACTTTCCAGGGAGCAGACATATTACACTGTCGAGAGAGTTTACAGCAGTCAAGTACGTCGTATTCCCTGAGGTCATGAGCTAATCCTCTCGTATAGCGTGTCTCCCTCAGTTTCCTGGAAGTGTGTACGTCATTCAAGCAGGTCTGAACGCTCTCAAACAGCTTATCCCCTCCTTTTCTCCGCATGAAACGAATAGATACTCTAGTGTTAATGTCACGGACTCTTATCTCACACACTCTGTAAATTTAATTCCATTCTCATTATTTCAATCATTGCATTTCTTTGACATCCAAGAATAATCCTCATAGCCTCGTTCTGTATCAGCTCTATTTTTTTAATTCTGCCTTGGCCTGTGTAAGACAATACGGGTGCTGCGTAGTCTATCAGGGACCGAACAGTGCTTATGTATAACATCCGCAAGATAGGTACCCAACACCTTTACCAGAAAAAGCCAGTGCTTTTAGAGGATGCAGACGGGCTTTACATAAGGTGCTGATATGATTTATTTCAGCATTTTTACTCTCACATGTGTATCCAACATACATGCCCAGATACTTGTACTTCTGTACACGGCTCAGTTCCACACCATTTAGAGTAAGTGTTATATTTCTTCGTTTCCTATACTCGTATTTGGTTTTATCTGCATTTATAACTAAGCCTGACTTGTGACAGGTTGTACCAAGTATGTTAAGAGCAGTTTGAATTTTGTTCCCAGAAGTGCCTTGTATAAGAATGTCATCAGCATATATGATCTAGTCCTTAGTGTGAGTTTCAGTCAAAGCTGCTAACACTGCAAACACCAAGGCTGGGCTGGCCACCAAGGAGCCAGAAGAATCACTCTCCCTGAATATGACTCCAGACTGGACAGACCCGGAGCAACATCTGAACTGGGGCGAAAAGGTAAATGCATCCCCACCTCAACCAGTCCAGTTGAAAGACATCCACATGAGTGTCTCACAACTGGAGAGCAGAGCCACGTAGGAAGGAAAGTGTTGGTTCTACACCAATGCAAAAAGGTTCACCTTGGGGCAAACAAATGTCTCGCAGATCCAACCGAAGGATGAATTGTTGATGGTCCACTCCGGAGAATTGACAGAAGCAAGATAACCCATCTTCGAGGACATTGAATACACCTTGCACATGAATTGCACAATGGACTAAACTCCGAGAAACTAGAAGCCAAACTACTTGAAGCATCTAGCTCCACAGAGCGATGAACCTGTAGCAAGTTTATTAAGATATAATATACTTGCTCTAAACTCTCATTAGGTTCATGGCAGATCATGAGATGTTCCTGTTAATTCCACCTAATCTATCCCCAAGTTAGGAAGTTCTACACTAATCCTGTATGTGCTAATTACAAGTAATATATCTTTCCAAGGGTACAGGATCAGTCAGGCCACCTGACAGGTAACCTACTAAATGTTGAACAATTTGCCAAGGTGAGAAGCTTTTAATATAAGCCATTGATAGCAGATAGTGGTTCAGTACAG